CTGGCGGTCTAGATTCTCCTCCTTCACTATGGAAACTATCCTCGTTTAGGCCTCCAAAGTCAGGTGGTGTTTGGTCCTCATCTCGCCTGACTTCTCGACGGCTTTTGGCTCTGTCGATCACGCATCCATCCTTCTGGAAACATGCTGGGCCCGGGACTCCCCTAGCTCTCTTCTACCTCGGGATGCTCCTTCGTGACCAACATGCACATTCGACGAGGCTCAGTCTCACCCTTCGGCCTCCACCCCTCCTCCTCCACACCCGCTCCCTTAACAATGCCATTCCGACCCAGTTTTAACTGAGATCTAATTATTGTTCAGTCCCAAAAGGATATCTTGCACTCGGGGCTCTTCTCAAAGCTCCGAATCTACAGATCCGACCACACTTGAGGTCTCACTTGCATGGCTCAAAGACACCTCAACTCAGTATGTCCAATACGAGACTCAGGAATTCCTCTACCAGGCCTGTCCAGTTCCCACTGCTCAGTGCTGCTCCCGGCACACAGTGTACGTGCCAGAAACACAGGAGTTGTCTTTGACACTCCCCCCGCCCCAACCTCCTTGACCACCTGAATCCAAACCATCATTAACACCTGATGATTTTATTTCCTAATTACCTCTTATATGTGCTCACTCCATCCCCACTGCCTCCACCCTAGTCCAGCATCCATGTGGTAGCTCTAGAACAACCAATGCCCGTTCTTACCACATCACTTGGATCTTCTCCAAGCCAGTAGGATTTTTTTCAAAATGTGAATTTCATCCTATCACTCCTCGCTTCTAAAACATAAAAGGTTTCCCATCACTGCTAGGACGAAGCCCAAGTCCTCAGCAGGGATAAGCAGTCCCTGCACAGTCTGGTGCTGCCTAACGCTCGTGCCTCATCCTCCTTGCTCACGCCCTTTGCTCCAGTATCAGTGCGACAGAGAAGCCTTTCTTTACCCTTAAGCTGACTTAAAGCTCCCTGATTATTTCCTTTCTTTCCTTTGGAGCATTTATTTCTATTTGGAATTATAAAGTTATTAGTGTGTTCTTTTGATTGTCAATCAGCAATCCCAGGGCCATAAGCTTCGTGAGATCAGGGTCTCTGCATTTTGCTCAACGTTGAAACTCTACTGTCTAACAGAGTAGCTGCCTCACAGTAGGCACTCGATAAATGTGCTAAAGATTAAACTCAACGATCCCACACAATGAGGTATGTGTAATTGTCATACATGTCCACACTCTATAATAACAGTGTACTGAAAACAGCCGAACTGCCTATCAGCAGGGGACTCGATTCAATATACTGTGACACAGCCAGACAATGGAATACTATGCAGCTATTTAAGGATACTTTGTATGCATTCACACGGAAAGATCTTCACAATATGCTTGTGAATAGCAAGGTAAAGCAAAGTATGCACAGTGTGCTGCCACTTGTCAAAGATGGTGAATAACAGATGTTTTGCATTATTTGTTGGATAAAAATACCCACTGAATGTTTAAGAAACAACAGCAGCTACTTGTTTGGAGGGGAGGTGAGAACTGGATGGACGGGTATCAGAGGTGGGAGAAAACCCGCCATTTTATAATTCTAGGTTTGGGAATCCACGTGAATGTGTTATCTGTTTATAATTTAGTAAACAAAAATTTTAAGTGGTCCTTGCATGAAATCCCGTCGAATGAATGAAAGCACACACGATGGCTTGACCGTCATCCGTTCCCACCTCCAACGCACGTCCCCCTCACCACTGCCCCACCATGTTGCCACTTCCCCTGGGAAGTAGCATGAAGCTTTTTAAATTTTAAAAAAATGTCATTTTTAAAGTCACACTTTAAAATGATCAATTTAGCGTAATATACATTGTATCACCCTTTACGGTTTACGAAGTACTTCCACATATGCTCTGATTAGGTCTTTACATCAACCTTAGATAGTTTATATATTTTAGCCCCATTTTATAGATGAGAAAACTGATGTGAGAAATTAAGGGGCCTTCCCAAGGTCACTTCTGGGAATGGCAGAGGCAAGCTAGACCTTAGGCTTCCAAGTTTACATTCCTTCTTACACAGCTTGGAGACTAACACCCCCACCATCCTTCCCAACTCCAAAATGGGGAAAAAAGAGATGGCAGAAGGACTTTCACAAATTTTATTTCAATCCCATGACATTCTGTGACAGACTGATACAAGTATGGGTTGTCTGGGTCTTGGTCCTAGGGGACGGTACTTGCCGAGAAGAGAAAATATCCAACTTCTGTTTCGATGGTTAGAAAAGGAAGAAAAATGTCCTTGGCTGGTGTGGAGAGAATCCTGCCAGCAAATCTGGTAAATGTTCCAATGTGCCAAGGACGTCCCCCAAGGTCCCATTAACACTATGACACTGACCCACAGCGGCAATGAACACTTAGTAACACTGCTGACTTCCTGGCAACCTCTGAAAGCAAGGTTGTGTTTCTACTTACTAAGGAAGGCATGGGTGGGCGTCTGAAGATGCAGCTAGAGATGGGGAGGATCTTTGCTGCTGAGGGCCGAGCTGAGCGCTGCCCTAGGTGAGATTTTCCTCCTCTTCCATTTCTTAACCTCTAAATGACGCTAAAGTTTCAGATTCATGTGATCAAGATGGAGAAGGTGAGAACGAGCAGTGAAGAGGGTGAGATATGCCTTTCATAAACACTAATGCAGCCACAGCCGAGACCCGCTGCTCAAGCCGACCAGGAGCCCACAGCAACAGCATAAACAATGGGAAGAAACGGCTCATAAAACGAAAAAGGTGTATGATGTACAATGTCCAAGGCCATTGGTAATTGTCTCAGATCACAAGAGGGATTCACGTGTCCTCGTTCCTATTCTAGAATAAAAAGCTGACCTGAACAGCTCTCCCGAACCCTCCCAAAACTGAGGACCACCACAGGAAAGATAAAGATCGCTTCTGACATCGCGTGGTATGTCTATCCTGAGCAGGACAGACAGTGTGATGCTCACCTTCACTCACAAAAAGCAGAGAACCACCACCTTAATCACTCCAGAGCACATATGAATTTCTAAGGAGCATCAGAAAATAGAAATCATCAAACTGACCCCCAAAAAAGGAAATTTAATTTTAGTTTAAAATTTTAAATTCTAAATTAGCTAGCTAATTTAACTTAGCTCTAACCTTTAGTGCTACCTTTCAAACTAGGCAGAAGATAAAAACAGAAGGGGTTAGACAGGTATTGAAAAGTGCGTCAGATCTAACTTCTAAATCTGGCTACACAGGAGCTCGGCAAAATGGAACAATTATTTTCCTCCCCCAAAGCGTCTGACTCTTCCTCAGAGGCATGTAGCACATCCTCCCTCTGTTAAGCGGCCAGGGTGATTAGAGGGAAAAGGAAAACAGAATTCTCCCCAAAATCAACATCTGACCACCAGAAATGGGACTGCCTTCACGTTGAAACAATTCTCCATAGGCCTATTGTTGTTGCTTTTTTCTTTCCCCTCTCCAAATGATGGGAAATCTAACTCTGGGGAAATGTTAATAGCTTCATAATGTGACCATAGTGCTGATACGTTATGGAGCCAAAGAGTTTGGGGGCCGAGCTATTAAGATATTTTTGGAATAATATCCTACCTCTTGATATAAATCTATTGTTACCTAGGAGTATAAGCAAAGCTCCCACGGACCGGAGAACCGAAGGGCTGAGGTTAAAAGGGCTTCATTTGGAGCATGCTAAGGCATGGCTGGGGCTGAGGACACTCGGGCTTACACCGGGCAGGTCCAGTTCAATATGGAGTGGGTGCCAGTACAGATTAAGGGGGGGGGGAAAAACAGGTGCTTGGGGCCATTTTGGGAATGAAATACAGGACAAATGTTCTGAACACCCTCGCGCACCATGGAGGAGGGGTTAGAGGGGTCTGGCTTGCTGCCGATGGGGTAGGCCAAGGCAGGAACCTCTTAATAATGTCAAGGAGATAAGAGTAAGCCAGCTTCCTTAGTTGGACGTAGCTGCCCATCATGCAAACGGTTTCTGCACAGAAGCATGAAGAAAGCCTCCAGGTGCCAGGGAGCCCTGGGCAGAAGGTAGGGAAGTGTGGGAGAACAAGGCAGCCACCCTAGGCCGATGCACCAGACAAGAGAAAAGCAGTTCACCCAACCCCATCACACAGGGGTGGAAGGAAGGAAGCGGCCGAATGTGGCCAATGTTCCATTGACCCACCTCTGACACGGCAGGACTCTCTCCGGCGGTCAGTCACACTGCCTAAAAATGTCTCGATGGGGGCCTGGGACTGATGGACCACCGCCTCAGCTGGCCTGGTCCCACAGTCATCCCATGTCCATGGTGGCAATGCCACTCCCAGGGGAAAGTGACATTCCTCAAAACGTCCCCACAACTCTGGCATCTGCCCCAGACTGGAAGGTTCCTGTTATAGTTCCATCCCCCAAATAATCCCGACCCTCACATTCCACAACCGGCTTGGCCACTCTGTACCTCCACATCGTAACAACTATAGTTAAGATTCACAGAAGTGTTAACTATGACAATTGTTTCATTTCATTTCCTTGAGAACATGAAATGTTTTCTTTCCTCTTACAAAACTTCTTAGAGCCCTACGCTATCAACGACAACCATAATAATGATAGTCACGATGGCTCACGTGTCGCGTGCTTACTCTGTCCAGCACCATGTCAAGGGATGGACATATTTGCATATTTTACCCAGTGAAATCATACTGCATCAGCCCTATGATGTAGAAGCTACCACCGTCTCCATTTTACGGAAGGGGAAACCGAGGCACAGTGTGCCAACCTTCATCCCATCTTGTCCCCTCACTTCGTGAGGCCCACCAGGCCAAAGAATAAAGCCCATGAATCCAAAGTCCATGAGCAGTGCTCTTTAGCAGCTGTCAGGGAGGGAGAGAGGAGGAAGATACTCTGGTCTGGGCTTTTGAAGGAGCATTCTTGACTCCTATGGTTGCAAAATTCGTACAAGATGCAGCTACTCTATCGTTTTGCTGCTGCACAGTGTACAGCCAATTCTTACCCTGTTGTCTTCCTGGATCTCCCAGTCACTGGAGAAAGTGGCCAGCTGCTGCCCTTGTGAACAGTTCGAAAACTGGAAAAGGCTGGAAAACATCCTTCTGTTCTCTTGAGTGTCTGGAAAGATGGCGTCTTGGAAGTTGACTCCATGAGGCAAGAGGTTATAATTTTCGTCCATCCTAATGGGAAAGAGAAAAAAAAGCAGGTGTAGACTTGACACCCATGAGGTGGATCAGCTTTACTCAATAGTCAGGGAAGATCTAGACATTCTTGCCAAGTACAAAAAATGTCTCTCATGGCTCATTACTGTGTGTAACTGTTTCTCTGTCTATCCTTAAGGTTTTCAAAATGGTGACTTTGGGTGAACCGGGAGGAAGTGTGTGCTTGCCTGTTTGTCTATTTGTATATCTCCCAAGAGGGCTTTCTTCTCATGGAGAGTGTTCCTTGTTTCTTAATGAAAGGAAAGCCAGTTGTAATGACCCGGGTTCAAATTCTGCCCTTGCTACTTATCTTCTGTCTGACATGGAACAATATTTTTAGTTCTCTAAGTTTCAGTATTGCAATTGGTAAGAAGATAATAATAGCATCTTACTTCTTCGTGGCAGTGTAAGAATTGCATTAAAAAATGCATATAAACAAAGTATTTGGTAAAGTGAGAGCAGCATAAGTATTAGTTAATACTTTTATACATCCTAGTGTAAATCGTCTGTTGGAAACCAAAAATTAAGAAAAGGAACAGAAGAGATGGAAGTTACCCTCCAGCTCACCAGTGAGTCCCCACTGCCACTTTCCCCTGTGACCCTGACCAGAATCTGTCTCCGTAGGTCCCAGAAAGACAGAGGAGAAATGATTTGTATGCAGCTGTTAACACACTTAAGGACAACACAGCACTGTGAAATGGAAATCTGTTGAACTACTGTCTGACTCTGTATTTCTTCCCTAACTTCTGTAAATGTCACAGCAAAAGATGAAAGAGTTGGCTGACCGCCACAGAGCCAGTGGACAAACTGTATTTCATAATAAAGTCAGGGGGAAAAAAAACAATGTCAGAGTACTCAAGTACTCTGGTTCTTTTTTCTTTTGAAAATAAAGTTTCACTGTTGAATAGTCTTATAGTTGGGTTCTCCGTTTACCCTAAAATAAAAATATAAAAAATCTGAATTAAGCTTCTCTGTACAAAAAAGGTACAGTCTTGGTCCTTGCCGACTTTATTTAGAAACTATACTTGCCCAGCAATGAAACAAATTCAACTGAACCTAGCTAAATCACTCGGGCCAACACAACACGCCATCTATTCTAAACTTAGATATTCTGGCTTTGATATGGAAAACATGTGTTGCCATGGGCTTATGGACGCCCTCTGCAGAATTGTTTTCTTTCTCGGAGAAATGTGAAATCTCAAGAGCTCAAAGCCAATCTGTAGAGCCAGGTCACAGTCATTCAAGTATCCTTATTGCTACTTCACCCACTGAGCAGACCTGAACTATTACCAATCACACTTGAATTAATTCACTGTCTGGATATAGATGTTAGATTCCCTTTTGATGTTTCTGTCAGTTACTCTATATCACTCTATTTCAACTGGAGACAACCAATGCATTTAGGGTTCCACCTGCTGTCTGTCTTAAACTTTAGTGGAACCGATTGACTGAATTCTTATGCACATGCATTCCATCCGGACCACAGGCCAACTTTTCATGGACGGGCACAAGATTTCAGGGGTCTCCAATCAGAGAGGGCCTCCTGCCTGATTCACCTCTACCCTCTTCGAAGAACTGTGACCCAAAGTCTTATGCTCAGAAGCCCCCAACCCCACCCCGAACCTTGGCTATTTTGAATAGCCTGGCATTGAGGTCTGTCGGCAGCTGATATGAGACTGATATCAGCTGATATGAGTGAAACCGAAGGACAGCTGAGCTGCATTCCACACCATTCACGTCCTGGCATTTAAGCAGGTGGGGAGACGAGAACGTGCGTGCCTATTCGTGCGTCTAAAACCTGCACCAGGTGTTTGCATAAATGACTGTGTTTCAGTCTCAACCAACCTTGCTCCTCATATCACTAAGGTGAGGATATTGAGGTTCCTGGGAGCGTCAGTAACTTGCTCAAAATCAGTTAGGAAGGAACAGAACCAGAATTCCAACAGTGTGATGTCAAAGGTTTTTTTTTTTTTTT